TTATGGCCGGTCCTCATGTACAATTATTTACTGCGGAACTGCGGAGATGCGTAACTGCGAATCTCCGCAATTTTCAAACTACCGTCCAAATGCAAATGTCAAAAATAGTAGATGCGGATAACCTAGAAATTTGTACCGGTTTCTTTTCGAGTATTTTCATTGAGGTATTTCAAATAATTATCTATTAATCTTTATGTGAAATATATTTACAATGGAAAACTTTGATGAAGATACAGCTTTCTTGGCTCTTGCTGTTTCAATGAAACAATACAGAGACTGTGCTTTGAGGTATAAAAAATGTTACCGTGAAAGATTGATAAAAATGTATAAGATATACAATTCTATTCTGGAGTTTCAAAAAAAACATAAAAAAATGTGGGTGAGAGATATTTTCTTGGCTGATAATTAATTATAGAGACGAAATAGATAAAAAACAAACTAATCAAACACGTTTTCAGAATATAAACAAATACAAATGGCCGATAAATGTCACACGAGCACAAAAGTAAACACCGGAATACGGAAAAAGTTGAACCTAGTCAACTTTTATCCGGAACGCATGCGGATCTGTCACTTTTTCAAAATGGCTGCTGTGCGTCCAATATTTTTTCGATATTGTGATCACGTGATTCCGCATCTCCGCAGTTCCGCACTAAATTATTGTACATGAGGACCGGCCATATAACGTACAACAAAAAGATTCTAGAATCACTAAATTTCGTTTAGAGCATATACTACACGGAGGAAGGACCAAAAGGGTTAAAAAGTGTAGACGCTGTAGCGCGAAAAGGCGATAGTTTGGGTTTGGTTACTCGCTCTTTTTCTCTCACTAGTCGTTAAGAAAGGGAGGAGAGATCTCTACCTTCGCCCGAGCGCTAGCCAATCACGTGAATGCGCTAGAGAGAAACATAGTGTCCCAAACTATCTCTTTTTTTCTCTCTGTCACTCGTCTACACTGTCGCCGTAAGCAATTAAGCATGCTTCCTTCATGTATAGTAGGTATACGCTGTAAAAAATTTCCCAAGGTCATTAAAATATTCAAGTAAGTACCACAGCTTAAGCTGTGGGGGACTTCAACGCGAAGTCCCCCATATGGCACAGCGGGACGACGACCACAAGAGGTCGCGTCCTGCTGAATTACCAAGACAGACACGACGACTTGACTATACTCGGACCGACAGAACCGACACATTACGGACCCGTAGGACGCCCCGACGTTATCGACATTGCCCTCTTAAAATCTATACCGTTAAATGCCCAAATATCCACCCAATACGAAGGGTCTTCCGCCCACAATCCAATATTTCTGGATCTGGGGCGAAGACAGAGATATGAAGGCACCTTCACGAGGAGGTTCACTGACTGGGAGCGTTTCCGAACAGTAATGCAAGGAAACATGGCGCTCCCAGTCATCGAAACCACCCATGATCTGGAGGCGGCAATCCTCTCCCTTGAGACTGACATTAAAAACGCCCTGACTCAGACTACGACGGAGACTATTGTCCCCCGACTGACAAACCCCCGGGGCACCCTCCCCGATGACATAAAAAACTTAATACGTGACAGACGACGTGCGAAACGGCTTGCCACCCGCACCCGCCTCCCCCGACACAGACATGACTTAAACGTACTTAACAGACGGGTGAAGGCGGCTCTGGATGAACTGGCCCAGGATAACTGGGCTAGGCACCTGGAGTCGCTGGATCCACAAGACAACAGCCTCTGGAAAACGCAGAGGGCCCTGCGACAGACCGCTCGCCGTAAAATTCCTCCAATCCACGGTAGTGTGGGGGTGGTTTACACGAACCAGGAAAAGGCCGAGGCTTTCGCCGATAGCCTGGAACTGCAGTGTAGACTGCCTCAGCTGCCCGACGAAGACGAGGAATTCGAGATAGTGGCTGAGCGCGCGGCCCGACGCGTCGACAGAGAGCCAGACAATGACATAATCCCCCCCGCAACACCTGACGAACTAAGACTGACAATACGCAGACTTAAAAACAGAAAAGCCCCCGGACCCGACAATATACATAACACGACACTTAAACGACTACCACACAAGGGCCTCATGGCCCTACTAAACATAACAAACGCGACACTCAGACTAAGACACTTCCCTACCCGCTGGAAAACAGCAAACATAATCCTTATCCCAAAACCCAACAAAGATCACACCATCCCATCCAACTACCGGCCCATTAGCCTGCTCCCGGCTATGAGCAAAGTGGTAGAAAAAATTATCCTAACCCGTCTAAGAACCCACTCCCAAGAACTGCAAGTCATTCCAGACGAGCAGTTCGCCTTCCGACCCAATCACTCCACTGAACTCCAAATCCTTCGCCTTACCGAGCACATCACGGCGGCCTTCAACAGGGGACAGTACACTGGTGCTGTCTTCCTGGACGTCGCAAAGGCCTTCGATACGGTTTGGCATGAAGGCCTACTGATGAAAATGCTCACCAACCAATATCCCATATCCTTTACCAAACTCATAAAATCCTACCTACACCACCGAAAATTCCGCATCCAAATCCAAGATTCCCTTTCCACCACCCGTCCCATGGAGGCCGGTGTCCCCCAGGGCACCGTCCTGTCCCCACACCTATACACCATTTACAACTCCGACATCCCACATCCCCCCAACACCAACATATACTTATACGCCGACGACCTGACAATCACATCCCAATCCGTAGATCCTAGATATTCCGTCTCCCTCCTCCAAAACTCCTTAGACCAACTTGAAACCTGGTGCAACAGGTGGAAAGTCAAAATTAATCCCAACAAAAGTTCGGCTATCCTTTTTACCAAACGAAAAATCCCACAAAACCTCGACAGACTGACACTATCCCAGGAACCCATCTCCTGGAATCGACAAACACGATACCTGGGCGTGACGATGGACCAGCGTCTCACGTGGAAACCGCACATCGTGGAGACGGTGGCGCGAGCGAAGACCACCAGGGCTAGGCTCTATCCCTTACTCAAAGGTGGAAACACCCTCAGTTTAAGGAATAAGCGAACGCTTATCAAGGTGGTACTTCAACCGCAGCTAACCTACGCCTCCACGGCGTGGGGTCACGCGGCAAAAAGCCACTTAAAGTCATTACAGGCTGTGGAAAACATAGCCCTCCGCACGGCCACCGACGCGCCCTGGTACGTAAGAAACACTGACATATTACGAGACTTACAATACACAAACGCTACACAGACAATAAGACAAAACGCGGAGAAACGATTTGACGTAGCCGCTAGACATGACAATCCCCTCCTCAGGCAAGCCGTTGACTACGTACCCGACGTGACCGACAAACACAAAAGACCTAGACACCAACTTTTTGACCCTGGGTGACCACCCCAATGACCCCCCCCCTGCCCGCTAACCTTTTCTGTTTCAGAGACAGCCAGGATCAAGAAACGAAGACAACCACACACACACACACACATACACACCCCCCATACCCTCCTTAACCCTCCCCTCCCGCGCTAGCCTAAGGGCCACCTTAGCAAAGCGCATCCCAGGCTGCATAGCCGCACTACCCTACCCAACCATACCACACATAAACATGACACTACCCCCGGGGTTTACACAGACGAGCCGGCGAAGCAAGAAGAGCGCCAGAAGAAAGGGCCCTAGCCGGCGGGGCCCAGCCAGGACAAAAGGAGGTCCCACAAAGCGCCTACACCGGCCGCATTTGCGGTCGGGGTAGACGACGGATGGGGCCCACCTACGAAGGCTGTCCAGGCCTACACGAGATGAGGCAGGATAAAGAGGGATAATCCCCCTCGATCCCAAATCATTGAGGCCAATTTCTAGCCTTAGAATAATGGCGCGGCGCGCGCTTAAGCTGTGTAAGCAGGGTTGCCAATCTGTGGGTAATTCCCCAAAACGTGGGGAATTTCATTGACTGTGGGTTTTTTGTGGGGAATTGTTTTTCCTAGAGATTTTGTGGGGAATATTTATTTTATTAGTTAAGTAACTTTATATTGCGTTGTAGGTGGCTAACCTACTCTACGCGTATTGCTATCTCTTATTTTATACATAAGATAATAGGGGATAGATATAATACTCTCGTTGTAACACAGAGGGCCTTTCAATTTGGCAAAAATAGTAGCTAAAAGCAGCTAGTAGCAACTTAGAGTTACTCTGAACTGATATTAGTTGATAATATGTACTATTTTCGCCAAAACGAAAGCCTCCAGGACAGCCTTTAGTCCGCCCGTCTCACTAATTATTAATATGTGCCTTCTTGTTTCTTGTGACCCTGTGCTATGCTACGAGTGCCCAGTTAACATTATTTTTGTTTTTCTGAAGACTGATGTTGATACAAATCATTTTTATGGGCAATTAATGACACCAGTCTTCAGAAAAACTAAAAAATAATGTTAAACAAATTAAATCGAATAACAAAATAAGTGACCTTATGACAAATCGCATTGAAGAGGCTACCAAAAGGGCTGAACTTAAATTATGTGGATTACTGGCAGTTAATAACTTACCATTTCGATTAAACATGCCATTTTAAAACGAATAAAAAACCGTATAGATCCTTTGTTTTATTTTAATTCTTGTTTGAAATCTAATAAAGATCGATTATTTATTTTATATATGCCGCCTGTAAAAAATTGTAATGTGGGTATTTGTGGGTAATGGCGAATCCTGTAATGGGTATTTTATCCGGGAACCATTGGCAACTCTGTGTGTAAGTACTTCTTTATCTTTAGGGCCATTACTCTAAAAATCGAAAGCAGCATGAAGCACATAAAATGCAGAATTTTAATTTCCATAAAATTGCCTTAAATAAAAACTTATTTTATTAAATATTGTTACTGACAGAAATCGCCATAAATACAAATTCAACTAAAACACCGTTGTAGATTTTATCCAATAAAGGCGGAGTAAAGTTAACAAAAAAAAATGGCGCAGTCTATCTACGAGATCGGAGAAGTTCATTCTATTTGGGAATAAAAACTTTTATGACAGAGCGGATAAGAATTATTTTGACATTTCCTATGCGAAAGTCGTGTTCTAATAGTATTACATCTATGCATCTATGACGAAACTAATGAAGCTAACCTTTAAATAATCAGAGAATTTACAATGAATCACCGTGAAGTAAACAAAACTAATAAATTTATTATATAAAAATTTTGCTTATTTATAATATTACTAATGGTAGTACGAAGTCGTGGATAACACTTGAAATTAAATTATATTATGGCCCAATATAAAATGAATATTTTAGAGAATATAGAACCTCAAGAAAGACTAAAACAATTAATAAATTATAGCAACACAGTCGAAGTGGATTCACATGTTCCTCCTATTAGGTAAGTTGTGGTTGGTGGCTACATATTTCTAATATATTAAAAATAATTATATTTAGATATTATCGTTCTGGTATAGAAATGGTCCGCATGGCTAATGTTTACTATAACGAAGGTAGCTTAGAAAATGCTTATGTTCTATATTTAAAATTCATGACTTTATTCCTGGAAAAAATTCGAAAGCATCCCGAATTCAATACCGTACCGGTTGACGTGAAGGCACGAAACCAATGCAAATTAAGGGAAATTTTGCCGAAAGCTGAGAAATTGAAACAGCAGCTACTTGAGCAGTACAAGGATGATTATAACAGATATTTAGCAGAAGTGGTAAGTTTTTTATCAAGTCGAAGATTTAATTCTCTGTTTCAGTTGAAAGATGATTGATGGTTTGACTAAACGCTGTAATTGATAAAAGTGTAATGATTTCAGAAACATAAAAAGGATGAATTGGAAAAGAAGAAAAAAGATCAAACTAAAAAGGGTGATAAATCAAAATTGCGGCCTAGCGATCATGGTATTTATTCAATTCCATCGATAGCTAAGGTACCAGGAAGTATAGCCGATGTTAGTTATCCTGATTCCCTCTCAAATATACCTGTCACTCCAACACCCTCTGCGCCACCACCACCACCTACGACCGTAGGATCCAAAAACAGGTGAGAGTGGAAAATATATGGATATTTATCGTCACAAGAAATAAATTTCTCTAGTTAATATCATAATCATTTTAGTCTCTGCTATAAAACTGATAAAACAGGAATTTTTATTAATGAGGTATTCGTGATTTAGCGAATAATAATTTGTAAAATATTTATCAAAAAATTATTTTTTTTTATGAGGATTAAAATTTCTTTTTCTTTATCCGTTTATACAGGATGTTTAAAAGAGTTAACATGGGCCTATTGTCTTTTTTTTTTGAGATACAGGGCATTAGAAACTATTATTTTAAATCAAATTTTTGCCGTATGTTTTACAAAATATAATTTCTCGCATTGTTTCACAATTCAGTGTCTTGGAAACGAAACATTATTTATTTTTAAACTTTGACTACACAAACTTGAATTGCCTTGACTATGGCTTTTATGCTGTTTTAGAACTGAAGATGTGCCTATGCCAGTTATTGATCGTTCCAATAAGCCTTCTGAGATAAGCGTCCGGGAAAGATACGACACGAAAGTCCTTAGGCGAGTCATAGTGCCTGTGAAAGTTATGACCTTATTCCAAGCCATGGCCCAGACTAACACTCACAAGAACATCGAGACGTGTGGAGTGCTAACTGGCAAATTGGTAAATAATCTGCATTAGCAGCTTTTTCATCAGTTGAATTAAATTGAATTTATCTGTATCTTGTAGGAGAGGAATGAGTTGATTATAACTCATATGATAGTGCCGAAACAGAAGGGCACCTCCGATTCTTGTATGACGATGAACGAGGAGGAAATATTTGATTACCAGGACCAACACAATTTGATCACTATCGGGTGGATTCATGTAAGTACCTCATAACCTCCTAATAAAATTATTGCTTTATTGCCCAATAGACCCATTTACAAAATACTAAAACTTGTAAAATTATATGCAAAAAAATAAGTAAAAAAGATATGTTTGTTTACAAAATTATACAACAAATTTTAATATAGAAGTGGAAATTAACAACCTAACTGAACTTAATACGTCTTGTTCCAGTGTAAACGTTTTTTTTACACAAATCTATAAAAAATAAGAATGTAACAAATGAAACATAACCTTAAAGTATTCGTTTAACTTACGGAAAAAGCGTCATGAATTTTCGTAGTTCTGAAAAGAACATTTTGTTTTTGGAAAATACAGAAATACTGGTAGTGGTAAATACTGCCAAATTGTACAAACAATAGTCATACAAACACGAAAAATTATGAATGCCCTAGATTGACATTTAATCTAGGGCACTAATTGGTGAATTTTCCTTGGTAATTTCTAAAACACCAACTTCAGAAAATCAAATTTACTCAGTGCCAAAATAAATCTGGACATGTGGGACTCGAGCATTTTTGAAGGCACTCCATATTACATAAATTCTCCAGTTGATTTAAATTGCTGCGCATAACTAAACTGGTGATTTAAATGAGGTAATAGTATTAGACAGTGCAAATCTAAAAGTAATAATATTTCTTTCGCTGCAGAAAAAAGTTAGTTAATAGCAATAAGCAAATCAGCACAATCAATGGTATTTTATAGTAATTTTTTCAAAAATGACAAAATTAATTTTATGTCCCCGACAAAATTTTTTCATAGACGATTGGAAACTTTAAAGTCAGTTAATTGTAATGATAGTAATAATCAAATCAATTAAATAATCGAGATGTTACCGTTCAAATTAAGTTTATAATGGAATGATCATTCGAATGATGCGAAACATGTTGACGTTAGGTAAATGAATAACTCTCGTGGATGGCAGCACATGTTTAAAATGAGTAGTCGCCGCCTAAAGAGATCCATTGTTTGGGATTTTTTTGAAAAAAAAAATGTATATACAGGGTGATTCAAAAAACCGCTGACAGACTTCTAGTGTAGATAATACATAAAAAATTAAGACGAAAAGTTTTAATAAACATAGGGTCGCAAATGCCTCCTTAACGAGATACAGGGCGTCAAAGTTTCTGTAAAATTAAACATTGTCTGCAATAATTCCAAAATGACTGAACATTTCTATTTCGAATTTGCTAGGCGTAGTTAGCATCTTAAGACCAATGTTTGATGTGCTGCTCAAAATTTTATGAGCAGCAGTGTCATAGAGACGGGGTCAACATGACCCTTTTTTAAAAATATTTTCTATGCCACTGCTAATTTTGTCAAAAGGGCACTATTTTCGTGTAAAGTGTTCAATTGTCTATCGAATTGGTATCTTGCAAAATTTGGATTAAAGCAACCATTTTTAAGAGAAACACCTTTGTAGAAAATTTGTAAATCCAATTTTATTTTCATTCATTTTAGTTTCGCATAGTAGGCTTGTGCTATTCAAAATAAAATTAAACATCGCCTGTCACTAATGTCAATGTGTACAAGTGAGTTAAGTAAACTAGATTATAAGCTTCTTTTTGTCATTTTTACGCTTTAATTTTAGGGAAACTTTGGCGCCCTCTATCTCGTTAAGGAGGCATTTGTGACCCCCCCTTTGTGTTTATTAAAACTTTTCGTCTTAATTTTTCATGTATTACTTACCCTAGAAGTCTGTCAGCGGTTTTTTGAATCACCCTGTATAGAAAACATAATTTTTGTATTATGTTTTATTTTTTTTCATATGAATTTCTATCCTCGCTAAATAAAGCTCCCTTCTAAACCGCCCTTCAAAACCATGCGATATCACTCATAAAATTCCTACATATCCTTTTTAATGTATGTCGGTGATATTCGATTGTCTCATCCATCCTCTCGGCCATCTTATCTCGAGATTTTGTAGCTCGTCAGAGCGTTGGAACAATCGAAACATCTGCGCTCTCGCTCGAGTAGTGCGATTGTGTTATTCCGTGACGTTAGTAATGCTGTGGCCACTGTGGCCATCTACGAATAATCGAATGGATCTATATAACCACTCGAGATATCTCGAGAGATTTTCATAATCGATATAATCGATAATTTTCATTCGAGTAGTCCCATCACTAGTTAATTGTTAACCTTAAGCTGCTTCTAATGTCTTTTCTTGAAAAGTGGAAAATGCGTATATTTTTGTCTCATACTTATAGACCCAATTAAAAATTGTTTCATCGACAGTCAGCAGTTTAGAAATCTAACTCTGTTCCAGGTTTCCTTTGTTCTCAAAAAATGTTTTAATTTAATTTGTATTTTTCAATAAATCTCTAATCCGTACTTTTCCAACATTAAATTTTTCCACGAGTTTACAGACAATTAAATTATGTGGTACGCTAGCAGTAATAATATTAATTTTATCTTGAATTGATGAACATCTTTTTTTCGGAATCCATATCGACAGTGTAAAAGGCAGGTACAAACTGATGCAAAATATGTACATAACTACACACCCTCCATTTAATTTCTCTTAGCACAGCTAATTTTACGGTGACTGTGTATTGCTATGATTTAAAATTTATTAAATTATGTTCATATCTTTCGGTAAAAAAAACTCAACATCCTCTTTCACCGGATGCCGGCTGTGACTTAAATATTGGTGATTTTCTTTGCAGACTCACCCAACTCAAACAGCATTCCTTTCAAGCGTAGATCTGCATACTCATTGCCCCTATCAGCTGCTCATGCCCGAGGCAATCGCAATTGTCTGTTCGCCTAAGTATAATGAGTAAGTACCTCAATTTTAAAAGTGTTAGCAAAGCAGAGACCAAATGTATAATTTTTTGCAATAATCGTTCATACCACGGTTATTTTTAATTCGTGCAAGTTAGGACCATTACAACAACAAAAACAACAACAAAAGCAAAATCTAAGGGAGGACTTATAAGTATTACTCGAATCGTTTTGACATACAGACGCTATTTGTGTTGGGTCTTTCAAAATGAGCCAAATCCAGCAAATGTTGTTCACGCATGAAGCACTTCTGAGCAAATGGCCGCGTTTTTTTGGAATAATCAGACATGTGGTAACTGTACCATTAGTGCAACATCGGACGGTTAATTCGGAATGGTACACAACTATTTGTTTGTCAGAAGTCTTCAGGAAAATACAAGAAATACGGGAATGCGATCTCTCACACATCAGCTCAAACAATAGACTTTTTGAGAACTGAAAAAGCCGAATTGATGAGTCATCTGCCGTACCGGCCTGATTTGGCACCGATTGACTTTTTTTATTCCCGTACACCAAAAATTTGTTATGAGACCGTTTTTCGACGCCTGAAGAAGTGGTTGATGCGTTCAAAATGTATGTTTTGGAGGTACCTCAATCGGAATGGAAAAAGTTGTTGGAAAATTGGGTCAAGCACAAGCAAAAATGTATCATGGAGGACATTTTGAAAAACAATAAAGCCATATACGATGATTAATTTATTTTTTTTTTCTCTATTCTCGAAATATAAAAGGCAACCTTCATACACAGTAGTACTGATGTTTAAAATATGTGTACATATTTAAAATTAAATTGTAGCTGATGCATTTTTTGTCAGTAAAAATATCGATCTTTTTAGAACTGGGTTTTTCATTCTCACCCCAAGTTACGGACTACCATTTATTGCTAATTGCAGAAAAACTGGTTTCCATCCTCACCCCACAGACCCTCCACTGTTTATGGTAAGTAAAACTATAAACATAAAAAAATTACTCCAATCATGCAACTAAAAACAAAATTTAATGGGTCACACTGTATTTTGTGTTTTCGGCCAGATTTATACTTAATTTGTGAAATTTTATTTTATTAAATTATAGTATTGTCGATACTTTCTAGGTGGCGGACCACGTTCGAATTGAAAATAATGCACCTTTAGAAGTATTGGACTTACGTAAGGCCTAGAGCAACACCAAAGAGCTTGTCGATGTACCTATATTTATTATAGCTTTTGTATGTTCCATAAAATTTGTACTAACTAACATTGGTCAACACGACTGTGATTTTACTACATTATTTAAAAGATTATAGTTTGCATACATATACATTTATTAAGAAATAAAATATTTTCGTTTTTAGATAACAGAAGTGTTTCGTACCCGTTTATCCTAATGTGAAGTATTTACCTTGTAGGAAAAACAATTTTGTTATCTGCCTATCTTTTTTTATTTTTTTCGTGTAAAGAAATTGGTAATTTACGATGCCGCTTGTTCAAAAACGGCAAATTACAATTATCTCTTTGTATATGACAAGAGGTTTTTGTAAAAGACTGTGATTCGTTAATTCAGTGACGTCTGTGTTGCTGAAATGGGTGGCAACATTGAATACTTACCATGCTGATGACAATACGACGTGTCATTCCCTCCCGACTCCAGCAGTTCTTAAACTTTTTTGTTAAGTAAGGTCAGTATTTATATATTTTTTACATCATTTATAGCCCAGTAAATGAAAAAAAAATTGTAAAAAAAAATCGTTTGAGATTGAAACTTGGTTTAATCGTTAGTTTAGGCAAAAGGAATAACATTTCCCAAAAAGTATCGGTTTAAAACAAGATCATTGTTTAAACAATGATTAGGTATAATGTAAAAATTACCAAAAATGAAGTTTTTTAGCTGTATTAAAAAGCGCTTTCCAACAGGAGTTTTTGCTTTTGTTTGTACTTATAGGTTTTCAAAAAATGCTTTATTTGAGACCTGCTAAATTAAAATCCATTAACAATTTGTTTAAATAATTGCAAAAAGCCAGTGAAATTTGAATTTGCTATAAATAGAAGTAGAGGGCATAAATCTTCTCTAAACTACAGTAAAAGTTGTATTTTGTTACGCTTAAGAAACCCTGAAAATTTGGTAAAAAAATATTTATTTGTTTACGAGTTTTTGCATTTTTTAATTAGAAATAGCATTTTTGCAATTGCTAAAACGCGGTGGTTAGCGTTATAATAAAGAGCCTTATGAGGGCTCATTTGTTTCATCTTGACTTATATTTTCAAGATATGCTATTGGAAATTGTAATTTCATAGGCTAACCTCCTCAAAACAGCGTATAAACAAATAGTGTAATTTGTTTATAAGGTTTTTCATTAATAATTTTGCGAAGAATGAATATTTTTTAAAGCTGCTTTGATATTCGTAAGTAATCCTGATAATTTTTTACGAATTAAAAAGAAAATGTTCTAGGACAATTTTTAGCCAAGATAGGGTTTTTTTTTAATTCATAACTTCTTTATAAACATTAAGACTTGAAAATTCGGGAATAAATTGATCAACCCTTCAACTTCATAATAACGGTTAAAGATATCAAAAAAAATGCCTTTTATAGTAATTTTTTACCCTTTAAAAAGCATCCTCGAAATCATTTTTACACCTGGAATGTGGTGGGGGAAATAAGACAGAAACGTTTCGAGACTTCAAATCTTAACTGGCCGAAAATTTTGCAATATTTCCGGTAATTGTGGACCAATTTTAACGTTTTTTTTTTTTTTAATCTGGGGTAGCGCATGAAAATAATAACAACTGCATGGTCCATTTTGCAATAATTAATTATTAATTTGTTATAAACTATTAATCTTGTAAAAAAAATTTTTTTGCATTTTTTCGAGAAATAATTTTTCACAATGGTACCAATAAACAATTTCCTAAAAAAACATTATTTTTATGTAAAAAAATTCAAGAAATGACATATTTTTTATGTATAAAGTTTAGAATCAAGTGTTTTAATTTACTTACCTGTTTTAAAACATATGTAATTTAATGTTAAAAAATAATACTATTATGCATATTACATCTAAAAACTCAATTCTCATTAAAATAAACTTTATACATAAAAAATATGTCATTTCCTGAATTTTTTTACATAAAAATATTGTTTTTTAAGAAAATTGTTTATTGGTACCATTGTGAAAAATTATTTCTCGAAATTATGCGAAAATTTTTTTTTTTACAAAATTAATAGTTTACGACAAACTAATAATTAATTATTGCAAAATGGACCGTGCAGTTGTTATTATTTTCATGCGCTACCCCAGATTAAAAACAAAACGTTAAAATTGGTTCACAATTACCCGAGATAATTTTCGGGCAGTTAAGATTTGAAGTCTCGGAACGTTTCTGTCTTATTTTCACCACTGCATTCCAGATGTAAAAATGTATTCAAGGACATTTTTTAAAGGGTTAAAAATTACTATAAAACGCATATTTTTTGATATCTTTAACCGTTATTATGAAGTTTAAGGGTTGATTGATTTATTCCCGAAATTTCAAGTCTTAATGTTTATAAATATATAAGTTATGAATTAAAAAAAAAAAACGCTAGCTCGGCTAAAAATGGTCCTAGAACAATTTATTTTTTTAAATTCGTGAAAAATTATCAGGATTACGAATATCAAAGCGGCTTTAAAAAATAATCATTCTTCGCAAAGTTATATTAACGAAAAACCTTATAAACAAATTACACTATTTGTTTATATGCCATTTTGAGGAAGTTAGCCTATGAAATTACAATTTCCAATTGCATATCTTGAAAATATGTCAAGACTAAACAAATGAGCCCTCATAAGGCCGTTTATTATAACGCTAACAACCGCGTTTTTGCAATTGAAAAAATGCTATTTCTAATAAACAAATGCAAAAACTCATAAACAAATAAATATTTTTTTACCAAATTTTCAGGGTTTCTTAAGCGTAACAAAATACAATTTTTATTGCAGTTTAGAAACGATTTATGCTCTTTTCTTCTACTTATAGCAAATTCAAATTCCGCTGTTTTTTTGCAATTATTTAAACAAATTGTTAATGGATTTTAATTTAGCAGGTTTCAATTCAAATGAAGCGTTTTTTGAAAACCTTTAAGTATAAACAAAAGCAAAAACTCCTGTTGGAGAGCGCTTTTTAATACAGCTAAAAAACTCAATTTTTGGTAATTTTTACATTATAATCATTGTTTAAACAATGATCTTGTTGTTTTAAACGGGTACTTTTTGGGAAATATTATTTCTTTTTGCCTAAACTAACGATTAAACCAAGTTTCAATCTGAAACTAATTACCTTTTGATTTAAATGTATTACAAATTTCATTTACTGGGCTATTATAACAAGATAGATTTATCCTTCAAAAATGATTTCCATCCTGAAGAAAAAATAAGGACAGAAATTAACTGAACAAATTTCATTCAATAGTTTTATTTTTTGTTATAGGTGTACATTTATCACATTTTAATGACATAGTTATCAAAATTATGTAAAACTTATCACAGATTACTACCTAAATGTTTATAAAGGTTTATACATGTTGAAAGTAACAACAGTCTAACAGAAAACGGGCTGTCTCCTTGAATAAGTTTTAAAGTCTTTTTACCACATGTATGTTCGACAACCCTTCTGTAAGCTACTATCCATTTACTTCCATTATTTTCAGGTTTTAAATCATGCTATAGTATATACATGTATTTGTAGGCAAGACAGCAAATGAGCCCCATAATAATTTTAATAATACATACTAGACAGTAATTTTTGTTTAGCGATACGCTCAGCATATACCGAAGCGCTGCAAACTGTCCAATTTTTTAATACGTGTACTGGCCGTTCACATGGTACGGAATCGGTAATTTTATCAAAACGATAAAAATGTCGAATAACGTAGTGGCGCATAGTTTTTTATCAGTCAGTTTCTAATCTACTGAAGTTTTCAAAGAAAACTAAAACCCTTTCTATTGACTATTTTAAGCCGGTAATATCACTGGATGACATCCTCAAAGTAAAACTTAAGAAACCATCTGATCCTTCTAAATCCTTAACACCGGCATAACGTCGCTTATCCCAAACTGTGGTTTCTATGGACCTGCTCAGGCAGGTGAAGCTGCGACCAGCGTCACTCCCTTCATACCACCGTGACACTCCCGATATAGGAGCTTCCCCAACATTGACGAGTCCCCACTTGAGTCTCTGCAGGAGAAATATCGTGGATAAAAGAGAGAGACGACTGGTGAGAGGGTGGTCACATGCCAGAATTTTTGTGATTTTTCTATAGTTTTATTTAATTGTACTATTTATTTTAAGTGCCTTTTATACTCGGTGACGTAACATATTGTTTTAAAAACTTTAAATTTTGTTGACTGGGCAATTTTTGACAAAGAGATTTGTGTATTTTATTATTTTGTTTAATTTTGCTGAAATACTAGAAATTGTTTATAAAACGGTACAAATAAATCATTATTATTGTCATATATTATTATATTATGTTCGGATGATAAATCCTTCAATTAAATTTTAACTACAGTTTCGAATAAATTATCAAAACTGTAGTTAAATTGAATTCAATTGAAGATCTGTCATCTGATGAATATGCAGAATTAAAACTATACACCACTGCGCCGTTCGACATTTTTATTGATTCGATAAAATAACCGTATCTGTACTGTGTGAACGGGCATAACCTTTGGGGCCCATTATTTAATGAATAATACGGCTTATTTACTGAAAATTAGGAACTATGATTGCAATACACTAAAATTAAAAATACAGTGACTAATTCCTACCTATAGAATATAAAAAATCTGATATCCTAAATATTACCTTATAAACTATTAATTCTTTGGTATTTCTTATGGCACTTTATATCTGAAAAATAAAAATCAACGTGTAAAATAAAATAAGAAAATAAAATTACCCAATATCTTACCGAAAAATGTTTCAAGTCGTCATTAAAATTGTCTTCATTGACTAACATCTGTCTATCACCATATCTATTTCTGGAAAAAATATTGTCAAAGTTAAATATATTCTGTAATGATTCGTTTATCAAATTCATACCATTTGTTGTTTTATTTATATATTTAGTTTTTTTGTATTAATTTATTTACAATGATTTTTTGCCCCAACTACTATAATAATTATTAATTACTACTTGTTTATTAGATATTGCGGGTATAATTAATTAATATTTTTAAGAAGGTTCTCTTGGCATACATTGTTGTACCGCAAAATCAAAAACCACATACAGGGTGTTTCAAAAAGGTGTTGCCAAACTTGAGGGGGTTATAGAGGGCATTGCAGAAGAAAATTTTTGTATATAAACCCCTAGTTGGAAATAAGCCGTTTTGGCCTGGAGCAATTTTTGTCCAAAAACGTAATGTTATTATGTTGGCCTCAAAAGGCTTCGATATTTAAGCAGGTTTATCGGGTACAGAGGAAAGTCTTACGTCTAACGAGAGTTTCTGTAGATTCGCTAGTTACCAAAGTAGTAAGCCTTTAGATTTGGCAACGTTGCACTTGGCTGGCTTTGTTTGGATGCCTAAACTTGAAATATACATGTCACACCTGCGAATTTCAAATAATACGCTACCTCGAGAACCGCGGCGTTGCCGCTATCACACATATGGAGGTTAAGTTAGTCAACGACAGCAGTTTGAAGGAGAATTATTATAACTTATGTATCTTACAAGTACCTAATCGATTTCTACAAGCTGTCATACGATTCCTTACATATCGGTTTCCTATTATACAAGTTGCTGTGGAAACTGTTCGTCAATTGTTGAGCATTCTAAGTGGAAAGACCAAAAAAATCTGCATTCTCATATGACTACTAAATCGTGAAAAATTATTTTATTAATATCTCGTCTCTTAGGTATCCAAACTAGTCATAATTTTTTTTGAGGATTTTCTTCATATTAATAAGCTTATATTATTTTTTTATGAATATTTGTTCCTCAATTCCAAATCAGATAAACCTCCTTAAATAATTCTTTATTAAGGATAAGAGCAAAAATAATAAATTTATAATAATTGTTCAAAATGGCTTATGGTGGGTGGTTCTTTAGTGCGATTCAAAACCTCAATGACCACTGTCCGTGTAGTTCGTGGATGTCAATTTCCTACATCTGGTTTAAAGTTGCCTTTTTCTCTTAATTGACAATGGACTGATGAAAATGTTGTTTGACAAGAACATTGGCAATTTGGAAAGCTCTGCTCAGCTCCTCTAGCGTTGCATCTTGCTTTGCCATAAATAAGATGCATACTCTTCGAACGTAAATTGTACCATTTCAATAACTTAAAACCAAAATTTCCTCAACAAAATAAATGTGAAACACTCAATTAGGTCTGATCATTTATTACGTGACAGCTCTGTTCATTTGTATCACTATTCCTCACAATGTGACACAGATGATATTGCATGGCTAGATTAGATGCATGCAATAGAACTTTTATCACACAGTTATGAATAAAATCAATTTTTACCAACATTGTGTGTAGGACATGGAGTTGGTAAACACTTATCAGAAGAGATAAACGTGTTTATTTTGTTTCAAATCATTTTTTCACATTTTAGTAATTCCGCTATACGCGTCATATCTGCCTCTGATCTGAAGCTTCGCATCGATCAATTTATTCGATACGTATCCAGGGGCACCCTAATGCCTGCCCTGTCGGCCCTGGCATGCCGGTGAACAATCCAGGTCTTTTGCTAAGGGACGTTGGTTAGGTTAGGTTAGTGTAAGAGTGAGTTTGACACTTTGCTTGGTCGAATGTATGACAGGTGTTTTTATTGAAGTCAGCAGCATTGTGATTCGTGAGCATAAAGCGGCACACGGCTTAACCATAGATTTAGCCTATTTCTGCTACTATAACGCGTATTGCAGCTTACTAGCATAATATAGATTACTGTTGTTAATTTACTTGATTGTCGTTACACAATTTCCGATGCCTAGTGATTATCTAATTCTTTAAATAGTTCGTTATTAGGAATATAACTCTTACTTATCGTAAGATGTTAAAACCGATTTCATAATGCCTAATAAGATTATTACGTTCTTGGACAAAAATTGCTCCAGGGCCAAAGTGGCTCATTTTCGACTAGAGATATGCAAAAATTTTCAACCACAATGTCCTCTATATCCCCCTCAAGTTTGGCTATACCTTTTTGAAACACCCTGTATATACTCTTTATCAACTTACAGTCACACAGTACCCAACTAGAATAACATATTCACAACAAATAAATAGAATAACTACTACTTACTCTAAATATCGCCTCCACGACAACAAACCGACATAAGCGATGACGGATATGACCACGAATACGCCTGCCAGGATAGCAGCCAGTTGGCCCTGAACCAAGGGAACTCCGGGGTTGGAAACTTTCTCTTTCAAGGTGGAGTTCCTCCTCAATACATCTTCTGTGTTTTCACCATTCTCTATCAGTTCTACATCTCGGTCTATTTGTTCCGACTTGTTGTACGTGATATTGGGGGCTGAATCAGGGATCTGATTTGGAGTCAAACAATTGACTGTTGTGTTCAATAGATCCGACACCTCCGTGTCTATTTTACTCGAATTAACAGCTGTATTATTTACTGGATAAGTTATATTTAAAGTTGGTTGGTTGGTTGATGTTTCTATTTTTGTACTAATTTTTTCGTCATGAGGGTCTGTTTCATTTTGACTATTATTGCTTAAGTGTAGAGTATCCTGAATTGTATTAGTGGTCTTGATGTTTAATCCTTCTTTTGGGAACTCTGAAGGTACACTAATTTTGGAGTCGCTTGATGAGTTTGTTGAGTTCTGTTGTACAGAAGGCGACGTAGCATTTTCAGCACATAAAGGAACTGAAACAATATAACTTGTCTTAGGAAACATTTTTTTGTTGTAATGAAAGAAATTAGATTCAAGGGATGTTGTTATTAGAAATACTTATGGAAGTTTATAATATTTTAGGGGATAGCCTAAGGTAAGAGGTAAGAGTTGAAGAGCTGAAGTGTGGAAAAATTGGGGCTGTATACGATTGTGCTTTTTATTAGAGCGTATTGTTAAAACCATGAAGTCTCTCGAAAGAAAATTTACCTCTTCCAATGGTTTTATTGTTGGGGTCCGCATGTTGTAGGATCGATATATTATCACATATTTGTTTTTGAGGCAGTAAACTGGATACATTTTTATAATCTGGTGCTTCGCTTATCACTTCATTTGGTGGTTGAAGAAAAACACAGTGATGTACTAAAATGTCAAAAAAAAAATTAAAGAAAATGTATGATACATAGGTGTTAAAAAAATAATACAACACAGTGTACATAAGAAATTATAACTGCAGATCGGAATGTATGTAATTTAAAAAATTTTTGTTGTACCTAATTTATATTATTTTTATAAACTGGATTCTATGGTTCTAAATTCCAAATAACGTGTCTAAAATTAATACCTACGTCACATATTTTGTGGTCGTAAGAGTTTTCACGGGGCTGTTTCAGGTTATTATGCCGTCGCCGCCAATTGCGGACCGAATCAAAGTCGCAACCAGATTCACAGACCGTGTCGTAATAACCCGAAAGTAATTTTGAGTAATCACATAATTATACTATTTTAACAATAGCTTCCATCCTATATATTCAATTGAAATGGATCATATTTTTTATTATTTCTGTTAAAAGCATAATAAATATTATATTTCAAAAATGCGTCAAATGTTGCTGACAATATTTACGCACCTTTAAATGACTTAATTTTGTTTGCCATCAAATGTCTTTTGTCGACTACTTAACACTGCTCTATTTATTTAGGTCTTTGCTCTCCTTCACTACTATCTTATCATACAAGTTAATATTAGCTTAATACCCATGGTGCCGAGTACCAAAAATGTGGAGACATGTTTATGTTTTATGTGCCCTTGAATTAATAACAAGATGATGTAGTAGTTTTGTAAAAATAGATTGTTGTTAAACCACAAAGTAATTTTCTAGGAGGAGAAAATTGAAAAATAATAGCCCTGTAATTGACTCCCTGAGGAATACCTTAATTACAAGGTCCCTTTCTCTTCAGTATCAAGCAACATTATTAGAAAATAAATTTTTAAGTGTAATAATAAATTACTGTACTAATGAAAAACGATTATCTTTATTGCATATTTAGTTAGTTTAGATACGGGTTATTCCAAATTTAAATTTGGTTGTCAACAAAACTTTGGCGCTGAAAATAAAAATTTTCCCGGCGTCTGTATTGGTTATTAAAAGTAATTTAGATCGTTTGCAAATTATATATTTGACCTAGAGGGTACTACATTTAAAGGTCCAGGTCAAACCTCATTACTTCGTTATTATTGTCGTAAGTAACCAAGCTTTCCCCTTGTTTTGTTTTCGCTTTGCACTCGATGTTAGACATTTATAAAAGGTACGATCGATGTTTGTAAATTGCAGCTATTATTAACAGCAATTGGTAGTAGAATGTCCTGAAATAGACGACTGTTCTTCATTAGGACCATAAGTTTTTTTATACACGTACATAGCATGCGATGAAATTTTAAGTGTATTTACTTTGTAGTTATCGTATTTATGTATATGAATCAACTTTTTACTATTATTAAATGTAATAAATAATTGTACGTGCAATACAATTAAAATGAGAATAATATCGAATTTTTTTAAAGCATATATACATACTTTCCTTAAATTAAAATAACGTTCGGTAAAGCTGGCAGAACAAGTGTAATTTAATAAGTAGGTATCTTAATTAAATAGGTAAAAAAATTGGACGTTTCACAATAATCCACTAATTATCACCACAGTCGGTATAAATTGATTTAAAATTTTACAAGTAATCTAAAATGCTATTATTTATGTATTTATTTGTTTCACTGACATAACATAAAATTCTCATAAAAATTATGGCTGCTTTGACAAAATTTATATATTTTGCAATTCACTATCTTCCCCTAATACTTAACCGCATACGCGCTCTCGGCCGTTTTTGAGCATGTTTGGAGGAATTTTTCACCTGTTTCGCATCATTTTATCGGAAAAATTAGAATATACGTTTTGTAATGCTCCTACTTTTACAATCCGGCAGAAAGATAATTAAAATCGGACCACCTACAACGCATACAGAAGTTTACAAAAAATTCAAATTGCAATTGTGCCAAAACTAATGGTCCGACAGCGCCTGCTTTGTGCACACTTAAAGTACATTCATTGGTAGGTGTACATTTGTAGAGGAAGACCTACTTTATCGAATATGACATGAAAATTTTCCAGTTTTTATACAGGGTGATCAATTTTTTTTTATCGAATATGAAGTTCAGAATATGTGGAAAACTCGAAATTTTTAAATGGGAACCCCTAATATTTTTGCAATAATATATAGGGGCTTCCATTTAAAATAAGAAAGTTAGTATAAACTTCCGGTATAACCGGAAATACGATGATCTTGAAAATATTTTAGCTTGGTAGGCTCCACAGTCTGTATCACACCATCACAGTTTCAAAAAAATCCTTCGAGAGGTTTCCCAGATATCCATCGATGGAGTTCGTGGTATATGTACGGTTAAAGTGTTTACTTGGTTAGTTAGTGACTTTGTATCCTAGCCAAGTAAACACTTTAACCGTACACATATATATTGTTTAATAGCTATAATTCATTAATGATTAAAATATTGTTTTTGGGAAGAAGAAAACGCCAACATAGATATTGGGTTGGATCACTTAAATAGAAAACACAACACGACCGTTTCCACTAAACAGTTGTGTTTCAAAACACGTCGAAACCTTTTGATGTGACCGCTTTCGAGCGGGACCTGAAAAACAAAACTCCAACTGTCGCAAAACACGCCAGTCTTCAAAAAGTTTGCGAAAAGTTACAGTTTTGTTTTATTCGACACCAGTTTGCGTTTTATTTTTGTTTTGTCCGTTTAGTGGAAAGCCGCCTTTTTGATGCGGGGCCCGAAAAACAAAACTCCAACTGTCGCAAAACACGCCAGTCTTCAAAAAGTTTGGGAAAAGTTACAGTTCTGTTTTATTCGACACAAGTTTGTGTTTTGTTTTTGTTTTGTCCGTTTAGTGGAAAACCGCCTTTAGATTTCTAAGGACAGTAATTATAAATTTGCTATTTGAAATATGTATAATAAGCAATACAATTATTTTTTTATCTTTATACGAAAAGTATAAACAGCATCTTACCATGTTTAGTTTCGGAGAAATTTAACATTTCGAAGACGTCGCAAACCAAACGTTATTTTATTAAATGTCAAGTAACATTGGAACGGTACGTTTATCATCTGTTTATTGAAGTAGTACAACTACCTATTTGATGCGAAATGGTGAAATTCCTATATCATTTTGTACAAAAAATTGAGTTTTTTTGTGTTTTTTTTAACATGTTATTTTAAAAATGTTTCCAGCTGTATGTTCTGACTACACAGAACTTTTTTACGTATTCAAATATATTAAAAGCAGAGCAAACTGCAATATAAAGAACATTATGGATCACTTTGAAAGTATTAAGTGATTCATAATTTGATAGAAACAAATTTTATTATTAGGCGAAATTTTTACTTATCTATATTTTTAGAAATGCGATAGAAACGGTAACATAGTATACTAAAATTTTTATTTTGTATGAAGCATTAAGAACTTTGGACAATTTTTGCAATTTTGATTTTGATAAAGATAACAAGTGTAAATCTTGTTTGTGGTGTATATATTTTTCCAGTAATAAAATGCTTTGCTGCGAAATTATATATATCCATACCAGATCTACTGATAACAAGAGATATTTTTTTAATTTTAACATACCTGCTGAAAACATCACCAGAAGAAAAAGGCATCTGATCCAGCGCTCGAGGCACACCATATTCAAAATATTATCACCGAAACAAATAAATCACACGAAATTTCCAAATTTTACGACACAAACGCGTGCGACGAACAATACAGCTACGTCAGTTATAAAACCAGATAACACAGTGATTATTTTCATATCAGCAAATTAAATGTCAGTACTGATAACTCCTAGCTCTTTATATCTGGGGACCACGCACAGGGCAGACGGACAGACAACCAGCGAATGTGCACCGCGTTCCGCAGGTGCTTGGGTTTCTCTCGAGATTCCTACCTAGAGCACATTACTGACTCATTTAGTGACATACTAATCGGTTGTGATGCCCCTTGGCGATGTTTACCATCAGAGAACTCGTTTCCATCAGTGGGGAAACTAGAGTTTAGTGAAAATTACCCTGTCTCGGATACGCTGAGCCGCATTTAGGTATGTATTTAGGTAGTTGCAGAGGAAATGGAAAGTACCTAGTCGAAGAAAACGTCGAGGTGACCGTAATGGGAGGATTTGTACTTACCCGTTTCATGGCCAATACCGTCACTGATATTAAAATGATTTTCTCCCAAATAGGATAGGATGAATTTGCGTATAAAATTGCTGGCAATAGAGAAGAATCGGCCAAAATGGCATACCTACGTTTTTTTCTACGCACAGCGGCGTAGATATGGCAAGGTAAGCTGGGACAAAGACCCAGGATCCCAAATCAACATATTGGCAAAACATACAAGGTATTTGCTAAAGCTAGCTTCCTTGGATGAAAATAAGCTAATTTAAATCAACTTACCTCATGGGTCATTGATTATAGGATTTTAAAAGGAACTATGACGTTCAAGATATTTTATTACATGAATCGTTCAAATGGTCATTTTAGATGAAAAAATCTCGGAGTGCTCTTAAATTAGAGGGTGGAAATTGGGGATAGGGGTAAAAATTCACCCCTTTCAGTTTTTTAATTGTATCTCGAAAACGAAGCAAAATTTCGCTATACATAGTTCATAGGAAAAATTATTTGAATTATTGAATTATTGAATTTCCATCGAAATGGCTTATTTAAAAAATTTAAAAGAAACATTTTATGCAAAAAATCGTTAATAAACAATTTTTAAAAAAGCAAAAAATAAGATTTTTTGATTTTATTTACTTTTTTGACTAAGTTGTGAAAATCTTTATTTATTATTAACAACTAAAACTTTTTTATTAAGTAATGAACCAATTTGTTGCAAAAATAATAAGAATTATAATTATTGTTATGTTAAAAACGACGAAAATCAAAAAATAAGTTTGACCAGTCAATATTAGTCGAAAAACTTTTGTAAACACATCATTTTGAAGGGAATCTCATCTAGCTTTTTTGTACAGGAATTTTCTTTGCTTACTTCTACTTAAAAAAAAAATTAAAAATCAAAAAATCTTTTCTTGCTTTTTTTAAAATTGTTTATTAATGTTTTTTTGCATAAAATTTTTCTTTAAAATTTTTTAAATAAGCCGTTTCGATGGGAAATTCAATTCTCTACAAAATTTTTCCTATGAACTATATCGAAATTTTGCTTCGTTTTCGTGCGATATTTAAAAAACTGTAAAAGTGCATTTTCACCCCTATTTTCAATTTCAACCCTCTAATTTAATAGCACCCCGTGGTGTTACATTTTTAATGACCCTTCGAACAAGTCATGTAATGAAAATCCTTGAACGTCTTATTTCCTTCCTTTTTTGCAAAAAATGGGAATTAAAACGTAATTGTAAGTTTGAGTGGCCATACATCAGTCAATTTTCATTCAAAAATACTTTACAACCTCCTGTTTTGAAGGAAATTTTATCTACTTTTTTTTTTCTATGAAGCAATGCCTATATCTATCTTTACTCAAAAAAAAACTAGAGGCAAATAAATAAAAAAATCGAATTTTATGCTTTTTTCAAATTTTGTATTAACGATTTTTTGCATAAAATTTTCCTTTAAAATTTTTTAAATAAGCCATTTCGATGGGAAATTCTATTCTCTAAATAATTTTTGCTATGAACTATGTATAGTGTGAAATTTTGCTTCGTTTTCGAGCTACAATGTAAAAAACTGAAAGGAGTGCATTTTTACCCCTATCTCTAATTTCCACTCTCTAATTTAATAGCATTCCGCTGTTTTTTCATCTAAAATGACCCTTTGAACGATTCATGCAATAAAATTGCTTGAACGTCGTAGTTCCTTTTAACCCTGTTTTTTGGATATAATCAATAGCCTGTTAGTACCATCTTGCTTCCTTAAGAAGTTATGGGCCCGAGAAAGTAGTTTTTTTATTTCGCTTATGTAGTGAATCGTAGTAGCAGCACTAGCAACAAATGATATTAGACAATTAGGCATAACCTTCCGACATGTAACCAGGATACCTTTTTTTAAAGCAAATCAAATGCTTTTTTAAAATAACTAATCAATTTCCAAAAATATCGATCTTTAAAAAAAATCTGAAGGAAAAAAATATAGTGGCAAGGGTACTCAAAACGTTCTGTATATTTATCGCAAGAAACAAGCAGATATTTGTGTTTATAACACAAAAAACCCTTTACAAAATTTTAGTAAAATTACCACAGTAATAAAATAAATTATCTTAAGGGCCCCATATTCTTTAAATAGTGTTTTCCGCAAAGACAAATAATTTCAAACATTTAATAACTGAATAATCTAAAGTTTATCAAATAATAGGAATGTTATGTCATGCCATCTGGTTATTTTCAAAGACGCCGCAGTAAAACGAATAAACAGGTGCAAAAAACTATCAAACCATCAAGGTTTTAGGTACTGAAATCTTCAAAAATACTACCTTTTTTATATATAATTCCACTTGTAAATATTCTTATAACATTTACTTGCTTAGTCCTACATATAAAATTGTTTACTTTTATTTATAAGTACGTGAAAATAATTCTTAAAATGTGGGGTTAGAATAACAGCAAACGCATGTTTTACACACGCTTTTTTTTATTTTTGTGCTTACTTTTGTTCTACACGTTTTACTTTCAAAGATTTCAGTACCTAAAAACGCCAGAAATTTCACTACTTCTCGGCCGGGAATATGGCCACCTTAAAGAAGTGAAATAAAAAACTACATTCTCGGACCTATAACTTTTTAAGGAAGTAACATGGTACTAAGGTAAGTTGATTTAAATCAGCTTCTTTTCATTCAAGGAAGCTAGCCTTAAAGTATGACCCATTCTTTAGTAAACACCCTGTATCCAGAGTTAATTTCCTCTATAAAGAAATGATTAAAAGTGCAAGCCAGTTAACAAGCACATAAATATTCATTTCTTTTTCAACATGTTGCGAAACCTACGCGAATGTTACCTACTATTTGACTAAAAAGTGATATAATAATATTTTTATTTATGAAAAATTAAGTTGGGCTTTTCGGAGATAAAATAATAATTCGTTTACAATTACCAATGACAAACCGATACGTCAACCACCACTCAAACGTGTCAAAAAACACCATTTTTATGAACAACTGCAAAAGTGTATAAATAGTAATGGCAAAATTTAAATTTATGGTTTAATTTTGTTTTGTTTGTTGCTGTTATTATTGTTATGTAAATAAAGCTGTGGTAAAAAGTATTAAAAATAAGAAATATTAAATTAGTTTATAGAAAAATATCAAATATTTCACATGACTACTTGACTATTTTATTAAAATTATAATTATATTCAAAATCTTGGTTATTTATTTCGCGGTTGGAATAACGTAGCGCTCGGTCGCGCGCTTGTCCGCATCGTTGTGTCTCTGGCTCTCTGGAAGCGGAATTATTGTTCTATGTGATTTATGTTCCTATTTTGTAGCGGGAACTGCGCTATACGGGCCCCTTTTGTAGAATTATTACGGCTATTCAAAACATAGGCGAAAATTGAGGATGAGGACAGAAACTAACAACAAATTTCATTCAATAATTTTATTTTTTGTTAAAGATGTACATTTATCACATTTTAATAGCATAATTATCAGTCACGTAAAACTTATCACATATTTGTATCAAAATGTTTATACTTATGGTTTATACATGTTGAAAGTAACAACAACGGTCTTCCTGAATAAGTTTTTAAATATTTTTACCTTTCTTAAAATTTACGAGACAAAAAAAAACTGTATTCGGCAGCCCTTCTGTACGTGTGTTTTATCAAAAGAAAACATCCATATTTTCAGGAGCAAAAATATAATTAATATGAATTCACTTCATAATATTTAGTGCTCACTAATTTCAGTTTGCTATCCATATAAACTAAGTACTGTCCATTTACTTCCTTTATTTTCAGGTTTTAAATCGTGCTATGGAATATACAGGCTAATTCATAACTTATCCAAAAAAATTGTTTATAGATGCGTCATGAAAACTGGAGTCAATATAGTGTAAAAAATGTTTGTAAAATCCTTATAGTGTCCAAGAAAAAAATTATTTTAGTTGTAGTGTTTAGTCTATAGCGTCACTTGCGTTGTGCGCTATACGCAATTCGCTCTCTCTCTCCATGTGGCCCCAGGTGATTCCGAATACTGAAATCTGATTTTAGTAATACATTTTTACGATAGTGTTTACATTACTTTTTCAAGTCTCAAAAATGGCTTACATGTATAGCACCTCGGAGTTGATGAATATCGTTTTAATTTATGGTGAAGCAAGACAACATTTGTGTTAGTTCGTAGAAACTGGGTGCAACAGGCCCAAATGTGTTTACACGTCGTTGGACAAAATTTTGAACAGTTGTAACATCAGATATGTTAAATTGTTTTATTAATTAAAACCACAAGTTAATTTTATTAATTAATAATAAGAATAGTGGCAAAAGCCGTATCGTGTGAACGGGCTATAATGTATGGGGCATGGGGCCCATTATTTAACGAATAATGCGGCTTATTTACTAAAAATTAGGAACTATGATTGCAATACGCTAAAATTTAAAATACAGTGACTAATTCCTATAGAATATAAAAAAATCTGATATCTTAAATGTTACCTTATAAACTATTAATTATGTGGTACATAGGTCGGAAATTATGCAATTTGCCATCAAACGTCTTGTCGCCTACTTAACACTGTTTCATTTATTTAGGTCTTTGCTCTCATCCACTACTATGTTATCAAACAAGTTAATATTAGCTTAATCTTAATATCCACGGTGACGAGTACCAAAAATGTGGAGAAAATGTGTTATGTTTTATGTGCCCTATAATTAATAACAAAATGATGTAGTAGTTTTGTAAATATAGA